TTAGGAAGAGATTTTTTCCAGAGAGAGTGCTCAGGCATTGGAATGTGCTGCCCAGGGAGGTGGTGGATTCACCATCCCTGGAGGTTTTCAAGCTGAGACTGATGTGGCACTTAGTGCCACGGGCTAGTGGCCACGGTAGGGTTGGACTGGATGATCTTGGAGGTCTTTTCCAACCTGGTTGATTCTATGAGTCTATGATTCTAAGATATTAAAAATGAGGAATGTATAATTATCTTTTTTTTCTAATAAATAGCTGCTTTGACTTGAAATATTTTATCTGTGTTGAACTCATCAGCTATAACAGTCATTCACCATTTCTTAGCATGTTTCTTTTTCTCACTGGATTATAAAACTCTTTACAACATGATGTCACCCAGGGAAAGGAATTGTCCAGGGTTCCCTACCCACCTCTCATTAGACAACCACAGGCCCACTGGGGTCATGGTATTACTGTTCTCCAGGTGTGTTAGATTCCAGCACAGTTTGGTGCTTTCTGTTAATAGCTACAACATTTTAATGTCAGATATTTCTCTGGTGTTGTAATTTGGCCTATGAGTGTGATGGGGAACATTTCCTCTCATACTAAATATTTCTGTTTCTGCATGGGAGAGGATTTCAGATTCTGCAGAGAAATAAAATTGTGCAGGATTAACTCTAATCTCTCATTGAGAATATACTTCTGAAAATACTGTGTTTCCCTTAGGATGAACAGGAATGTGCAATGCTCACTCTTGTTTGTGACCCTGCAGAATGGTCACCATGTGATTAAAAAAACCCTTAAAATAGTTTAATATTAAATAGCTTAATATTAAAATATTATTAAGCATAATGTGTTTTGTAAAGCTTCTTTATTTGGGTGGAAAAGGACCTCTAGTGGCTCACCGAGTCTCTTCTTTCTGAAAAATGTATTTCATATCCAATCAATTTAATTATTCCTAATGAAATATTTATAGCTGAGACTTGATTCTTTACAAGAATGGAAATTCTGGATCTCCCCTTTGTTTTCTGGTGTCCTTTTTCTTAACACTCCTCATTCTTCCTCTCTCTTTAAGGATCACTAATCTCTCTGTTGATACCTTTTTTGCATTCATATGTTTTGTAAGCAGCTTGGTTTCTCCTGCCTTTGTTGTTGTGTCCTCTTAGGGAGGCAAAGAAAAAATAAGCATCCCAAATAGTGCAACAACAAAAACATTATAATAACTTGGAAATGTTTGGCCAAGTTTTCCACTGTCATCAGTGAAGTAACCTGCTGGACAGACAGTGTGTAGGTACAAGATAAGCTCTTTTATAAAAATGGACTGTTGTCTACCCAGAATGGGCTTGTTGCCACAGCCAGCCTGGGAAAAGCAGGGATTGCTTGGCTCTGGAGGTGTCAGGATTATGGAAAGCCAAAGTTTGAGCCAAGATATTCCTACAGTAGGAAAGGGCAAAACCTAATCTCTTTGAAAGGGAATGACAAAAATGTAGCAGGTACTGCAAGAGGTGAACAAAGACTTCTTCACCTGATGAGGTTTAATGCATTGCCTTCAACAGAAGCAGAGCTAGACAGGGTGAAAATCCCTGAGGATCAGACAGGGCTTTTTGGTAATACAAATACCAAATGCCTGAAATGGGCACTTTGACAGTGTCTGGGGCAATTGTGCTGAACACCCAAAAGCTGTGTGAGGGGAGGGAGAGATGGATTTGAATTTAGATCATATTTCTGAGCCACCTGAATTCTGCAGGACTTGGAATCCTCATTGCAGATGCTTGTGCCAGCTTTAGTGTTTGGATTAATGCAGAGTGCTGGAAGTTGCCCAAGTTATTAGTCAAGCATTACAAATGAGTTGATAATAAATATTCAGCAGCAGCTGTCCCTTTGGAGCCTGTGGAATTAAGTACATGGTTTACCCAAATACCTTTTTGTGTCTGTGGAACTGTAAGTCTGCTCTCAAATCAGCCTTTGTTGGGTTGTGCTCCCAGCAGCCAGTGAAGCACTGTGAAAAGCCTCTGGTTTAAACTGAGTTTGAAAACCAGAACTGATATCATTGATATTCTACAGGGCTAAACAATAAGATAGAAAAATCCCATCTATCTCCCATTTCAAATATCTCATTGCCGTTTTGTGTGTGTCTTTTGCTTTTTTGGGGGCCCTTTTTAGGGCTGTTTGTGATATTTGTGGTGGAGGTTTGAAATAAAAAGTATTGTGATAATTACAGGGAAACTGGGAAGACACAATTTAGTTAAAGTTATTCACACCTTTTCCATCATTATTGACTCTTAGGGAAAATCAAGTATCAAATCAGATATATCTCTTTAGGAAGACAAATGTCATCAGCCAAGGAAGCAGGTCATGCCCACCCTAGCAAGCAGAGGTTTTAGGAAGCTCTATGA